ACGAGCCCCGCCGCGCGCCGCCGCCCCCGCCCGCCCCGGGCAGCGGCCGCGCTAGCACGCTGTACGTGCGCCGCTTGGCCGAGCGACTGCGCGACAGACCGCACTGCTGCGCCAGCGTCGACTGCAACAAGCGCGCGCCGCCACACTCAGTCATGGATCGAGCAGCGGGTGCTGCGCAGCGCAGATTACACTGCCAAAATTAATTGCTTAGTTAATAATGTTGAAAGATGAATGATAATGGGTTCGTAGGCTTCCGCGGCCGGAGTCAATGTATTCTTAGCTATCCGGGATGAGCCGCGTCTCAGTAAATTGGACTAACGTTTCGGCCATCTTGCTGTGGCCTTCTTCAGAGCTATACTGCTCTGAGTATAGTACTCTCAGCAGTATAGCTCTGAAGAAGGCCACAGCAAGATGGCCGAAACGTTAGTCCAAGTAACTGAGACGCGGCTCATCCCGGATAGCCAAGAATACATGAATGATAATGATTCGTTTCTAATTCAGTCATCTAGCTAATAAGCTTAAAAAATTCTCACCTGGATAGCTCCGGCTGTTAAGAAGAAAGGGGGTTGTTAAGACGAGAGGGAAGGAGATTGCAAGTGCGTGGGTGAATCAAATGAAAACCTTCTAAGCACAATAAAAACTCAAGATACGGCGTGAATTATTTGAAATTTGACTTCATGTTATTTGTGATTCAAACATTGCTCGACATGATTCAGGAACACTACAGTAACTGGAGCAGAATTAATGTAAATATTGCTCTTGTTTTGGCGTCATGCACAGCTTTAATTCAGAAGTATGTAATGTGTTTGACATTCTGAATAATAAATCAATGTATTTAACTTCAATTTCACTACTCAGTGTACTATGGCGATTCATGCTTTTAGTCGCAGAAACAGCTGTTGGAGGAGGAACTTATGTCGCAGACTACCCACGACCGAACCAGTCACACAAGTGTCTGCGGAATAGTCACACTTATTCTCTTTTCGGATAAAATATGGGTGAATTTGAAATACAACCAGAACAAGAATCAGTGGCACGCAAAATGTGAATCACTTTCGTCCCAATATAAATGACGAAGACATTTGGATTCATGAGTTTTGCTCCTTCTCAACAATGTCGACTCAACGTTTGTCACATTTCAGGACATGCAAGTCCATCTACTCCATTTCTCAGACTTAGCCCAGATGATTTTCATGACATCAAATTGCACAAAAGTCTAGATGGAAGTATATCCGATTCGATGAAGGAACGAAAAATTTGAAGCATGAATATCTACACTGTAAACGAAATACTTCTTTTGAAAAAGCTCATTTAAAAACTATCATCTTCCAAAGTGGCGGAAACCTCGATTGCGCATAATGGAGTCTACAATAAGAAATGTGTCATTCATATTTCTTATATTTTCATTAAATTACCTGATAAACTAATTAAGGTTTACATTTGATTCAATCTCACGTAAGCTAAATTTAAATTTTGACATCCCCTATGGAGTTGGGCATATGTTTCTGTTCGTATCTTCCCTTTTCATTATGATTCTATCGCTTAACCCTGAATTTCATATCTGCAGTTTAACAATTTCGGTTGCAAATATGAGTACTCAGCTAAAAGAAACCGTCTCCCTTATCATATTTTTTAAATCATTCAAAATAAGCGAGCTAGGAACAAGTGCCTTGCGTTAACGCCAATCAGGTACATCATGCATTTGTGTCGTCTCTTCAGTTGGCCAACATCGCAACCGACACAACTACAACAGGTGTACGTTAATAACAAAAATTCTGTGTAGTACTGGATTTGCAACATCATCTTCTCAAAAAGGAGAGTAGAAAGCGCTGCTTGTCAAAAATACACATCTGGAAATCACCAACTTTTGTTTTTTTTAACATCTTGGAGGAGGTATTTCATTTCAAATTGGCTAGCGAGGATATTATTGCGAGACTTACAGGTTAGCACATTGTCAGTTGTAGTGAACTACATTGGTCAAGAAAACTGGAAAACACTGCTCAGAAAAAAGTTTTAATCGCAAATGCGAAAGTGCACAAGTTATATTTTATTTCTGTGGCTTAACATTTGAGTACTCTTGTGTACATTCACTCTACGAAGCGAGTAAATATGATTCACATCACAATCAAACGGAAGCAATGGTGGTATTGAACGGAGTTTAGTTTGATAAAGCGGCGAATTTTTGAATAGGTATGCCCAGAAGGAGGGCTACCTGCTCCACGCTCCTATTTTATTGGAGCCCCGAAATATATTCATTGAAAACAATTAAAAAATGTGTTTACGTGTACTTCAATTTGACCGCTAAATGTTTATTTCTGTTGCATGGAGAATTAACTTTGTTAATTCACGGAGTGGACTTTTGTCCATGGATTTACAACCCCAGGCCGCACGTGTTCTCTGGGTGCCTCCGCCTATGGATATGGCTCCTCGAGATCTTAACTTGAATTCAACGTACCTCTTTCAACCAGACAGAGTCCAATTCATTTTCCAAGGAGTAATTATTACTTTTTCAAGTTTAATTATTTTGCAAAGAGTAAGAAAGAGCTTGCCAGCCGAGCTGGTGAGATCAAATGTAATTTCTTGATGTATTTATAACTTAAATGTAATTTCTCCCTATGTATAAACTTCCAGGCTTATGTTAAGTTTTTGATGGATTTCGCTTACTGTATATAACTTAAATAAAAAGCATTGTTTTAAAATACTTTCTTATCATGCCTTTGCTTTACAATTTATCGAAGAAAGATATTCCCTTTGAAAAAAAGAAAAACGTAAAATTATTTGAAAATGTTGTGGATTATAATATTGTATAATATTGTAAAATTATTTGAAAATGTGAAAGGTTCAAAAATATATCATGAAAACTCAACACGTGTAATCAAGCTTTAAAAACTCTTCCTATTAGTTTCCTGTCAATTTTGCAGTAACTTTTCATAATAATACGCATCACTCATAAAACCAATACCACTGCAAAATTCTATTGTTTTCTGTTGTAACAATAAAGTATCACTGAAAAAGTCACTAATCTACCCTTTACTTACTATCAGCTTCCAAACATATTTCTTTTATAAATGTTTACAATTTTGTTTATTATCGTATAAAAATGTGACTTCAGTCAATAGGCTATTAGGTTTATTTTTCGAAAATAATTGACTTACACTGGTTCTAAGACAATAATTAAAAAGCAAATGGTTCAACTTCATATTGGTTTTTGAAACGAGTAAAGACATCCGGATAAAACGGCGTTTGTCGCCGCCCCACACAGCACTTGCCAACGACCGCTATCAAAACAGTTTTGTTGTTCACGCGCACACCGAGGCCACAGCCTTGCGTGCGTCTCTGATGTTGGAACAGCAGTAATCTAGATTTATTCTGTGAATTTCCTGCCACCTTCACGCCACCAATTTACGCCTTTTCTTCCTGCCTCCGCGCCTCGCTGTTGGGACTCCGGGCGCCAGCAGATAAGGGTCCAAAATCCAAGCAAATGCGAAGGCGCAGCTTTTAAAGCGTCGCTACTAAAATATTTACATGATTAATTTTCTTTTTTTATCGAGATACTTAGTACACAATAAGCCATCTGTCATAAGTTGGCAATTCTCCCACGTTCTAACGAAAACTGGAACAAATTATGATCCTCGGGACTGCTTATTCCGAAAGAGGCTTTGTGCTGAAAATATATTGAAATTAAGAGTAACTTTTATTTGACGACACGGGGTCTTGGTAAAAAAAATTGACACGCGTGTTTTCTCGAAAAGAAAACTCACCAGCCCTCACCACAAGGGGTTCGGAAGAGAAAGTGAGCGGTTCTCGTTTAAAGTAGGTTAAACGATGTTTGTAAACAACGACAATGAAAAAGAATGGCCCTCATTTAATCCAATTGAGAATTCTTTCATGTCTGGTGTGTAAAGTAATAGATGAGGTCAGGGGATCTGTATGATGAACGAAAACAAACCTGCCCGAAAAATAATTCTTACAGAATTTTTACATTTGTATGAGATGCAATGTTGCAGGTGTTGGATTTCAATTTTATAAAATGTACAAGACAGACTCTCTCTCTCTCTCTCTCTCTCTCTCTCTCTCTCTCTCTCTGTGTTTTATATGTATATAATTATATATATATATATATATATATAATTAGTAGAATTTATTATGAACAGAAAGTCTGCATGGAGACTGAATTACGATGGTGGGGGTAAGCAAGCAGCGTCCACCGCTAATGGGACGTACTTAGCTTCACCACTAATTTTCAATTTTTAAACAATTATTTTCTCAAAAACAGTGCCTAATTATTTCGTTAAGTTTTTCCTTGTATGTATCAAAGGACAGTAAAAGAGTGGATCTGGTTTAATTCCCGGCAAACGCAGAGTATTTTAAAAGGAGCAAAAATTATTATTGCAAAAGTACAATACTGACGACAAGATTTTATTTAAAAAATCTCATTCTAAAATAATACATCTTAAAAAATCATTTACAATTTTTAGAAGAAAAGAGTAGCGTAGTATTCGTGCAATTTTTGTTTGAAATTAATACAATTTATAAAAATAATATTTTCCTAAAAAAAACTTTAAAAATGGCGTAGAATGTCGTTTCCGTTAAATTGCTTGAATAATCAAAAATTTCACATGTAATTAATATTTAGAGAAACCAGTAGTTTTTTAAGGGTCGATAAAGTTGTGATAAGTTGAATGCGCTTGGTGATGTAGCGATAATGTGCCAGGCAGATTGACTTAAAAGTCTTTATTTCAAATAGCGGCGCTGAGAAAAAATGTTTGCTCTTTGGATACATTTTTGCAGGTTCATATAAGTATAATACTGCGTAGTCCTTCCAAATAATGGGGGAAAATACCATGTGCTGCTGTTGCACCATTAATTCTATTTGAGAACCATTTCTGTATAAAGTACACATCAACTTTCATGAAAAAAGTAAAACACCAGCCGTTCATGTTACTAGGAAGGCGAGCCGTCGATGAGTTAACAACTAAAACGTTCAGAGGCAACACTCGAGTCGATAAAACGAATGGATGAGAACAAGACGAGCGCGTTGGTGCACTTGACCGCGAACCTCTATGGCCGCTCCTCTCCACTGAACATTCCTGCCAATCAGACAGTGGCGGGTATTATTGGGCTCGCGTCTAAGCGCATGCATCTGGCAGTGTGGGCCCGACAGCGATATGTATTCCTCCCCGTTCTTTGGTGTACCGTCTTGGCCTTCGTCCTCTCTAAATACGCGTAAAACATTTTGTTTCATTCTTTATGCAAAACTTCATGCATTCCGGAAATTCACATAAAATGTATGATTCCTACTTATCTTCTCGTGCCAAGTTATTTACAAAATATTTTTGCATTTTATTTTTTATGTAAATTATGCCACGAAACTCACATTCGTGTACCGTTCAACTTACTCCCCATACACGATGCCTTAAACAGCATACAGTATAATTCAATTTACAAGTTTTTCATTTCAATTACCATTTTTGACATTTCTTCCTTTGAATCATTCTTCTGTATTCGGTACTTAACCTTGACCAGACGTTCCTACCATCTCCATCTTCCTGAGTGTCTTAGCATCTATTTATCCGCGATTTCTCTCTCTCTCTCTCTCTCTCTCTCTCTCTCTCTCTCTCGGTCCCTCGCCTTGCCTCTTCACTCTCTCCCTCACACGTCTCTCTGCTTTAATATATGCCTCTCTCTTTCCCTTCTCTCCTTTGCTTGGTCGCTGTCATGTCTCTCCTCCCACCCTATCCCCACTACGCTCTTCTGTCTGGCACGTGTATCAGCTGCTACCTTCGACGCTATTTCGAGAACGAAGAGTCAGGCGTGGATGCTACCCAGTGCTCCACTGTTTGCTGCTTTTTGCTGACTATCGCCCATCTTCCCGCCATGACCCTGCCCCATGCTCTCTCCTACCAACCTCTCAACGATCCATTTAACAGCAGGAGTTTACCGAAGAAACCAAAGTCTTCATTCGCACAGATCCATTTCGAGAATTCTCATCTTGAGTCTCTCTTGTAAATATAAGATTATCTATTTTTATCTAATTCTGAAACTTTGCTCAGTCAGCACTGTTTTGCTCTAAAAATAATTTTATTTACAAATATGTTATACATTTCATACGAATTCAGTAGAGACCATTGAAAAACTGCCCTTCCAAAGCAAGCAAGTAAGAAAGACAGACAAAGGGAAAGAAAGAGGAAAAGAAATAGAGGAGGAAAGAAAGAGGGACAGAAAGAAAGAAGAGAATAAGGAGGGAGAAAAGGAAAGAAAGAAAGAAAGAAAAGAAGGAAAGAAAGAAGAAAAGAAGGAAGGAGAGAAAGAAAGAAAATTATGGGTTAAATACAAATATTTTGCATAGATTAATTTGAGTGTTAAAACAACAAATACGATCAATAAATAATCTCTACGATAGAATTGAAAAACCCTATTTACTGACTTATATGTGTTATAATAAGTAATGATAAATTTGAGTCAAATGGTTGGAGAGATGGTCTTAAAGCGCCCTTTGATTGCGGCGCTGAAACCACCACTACTTTACAGTTCTCTCATTTCAAGATTTGTTTGTGCCAATTTCTGAGATCATCAACTTCCTTTCTAGTATGATCGTAATTTCCGTGGGGAATGGACATTCAGAATTTAACAGAAAAACTTTTTCAAAATCTTCTGCGAACCCCGAACCAACTGGACGAAGGTTGATCTATTCTTGAATGATACAGAGTGCGTTATCAACAGCAACAAATAAGGTTGGTGACATGATACAATTGCATGATGAGGGTAGCATATACAAATTATATTATATTCAATGAGGGTTTTCACGGAAATGCATGTATTTTTTCTTTGATGGCTCAAATTATAAAGTTTATTTCTTCCATTAACACACGCTAAATATTAAAGTGAAATTTGATATTAATTTATTTATGGTGGAAATACAGTTTGTTTAAGAAAAAATCTATAATCACTCTGCAATTTGTAATTCTTTAAAATCAGGTATCACTACTATAATTAATTGCTAAGAAGTCACGTGAGTGCGCGTGATGAAATGTTTTTTCATTTTATGCTTTAATTAAAGGTCACGTAAACATAAAGGGAATTAGCGACCGAGTTATTTGTGTAGAGGTTTGATTTTGATGTGTTTATATGCATTTTCTCACCTTGAAAGCTTCCCGGAACTTGTGCGACATGATGTGGTAGAGCACGGGGTTGATGGCGGTGGAGAGGTAGTAGAGGATGCCCGAGATGTAGGTGAGCGCCTGGAAGAGCGGCTCCACCACGGGGCTGAGCTGGTCCCGGTTGGCGTTGGCGAACACGGCCAGCAGGCGCTGCGCGTGGTGCGGCGCCCAGCAGATGAAGAACGCCACCACCACCGCCACTGCAACACACCGCGCCGCCGGCGCACGCGCTGTTAATCGGTCCCCCTCAAACGGTCCCCCTCAAACGGTCCCCCTCATACCGTCCCCCTCAAACGGTCCCCCTGAAACGGCCTCCTCAAACGGCCCCCCTCAAACGGTCCCCCTCAAACGGCCCCCCTCAAACGGCCCCCCTCAAACGGTCCCCCCAATCGGCCCCACCAATCGGCCCCCCTCAAACGTTGAATTGAATTGAATTGAATTGAATTTGCCTTATTTTACGTGGCGAGACTCGGGCCATCAGACCCGCTCTTCCGTCTGACCACGCAAATTTCGCTACGCTCCTTTCACCAACTAGGAGAGAAAGGAGGTATTTCTTGGGCGAGAAACAGGCGATTTGAATTTAGCTCAGAGGCGTCATTTAGGCTTGAGGATCTTTTACATGCAAGTAAATCTACTAACATGGGACAGCCGGCTTTACTTCCCCTCCGAAGGATTTTTCCCCCTTACGTTCCCACCAAACGGTTCTCCAAACCTTTTCCCACAAATTTCCCAATTTGTTTCTCAAATCTTTCCCAAATGTTACCCTCAGAGGTTCCTCCGAACGTATCCTGTAATGTACCTTTAAATGGTGCCTCAAATGCTCCCTCACAAATTATCACAGATACAGTGAATGAACTACTACGTACACTGTTTTCTCGTTTTAACGATATAGGAAAAGGCAAATTTTGAGCAATGATCGACCTACTCTTATAATAATTACGGTTGTTCATTGTTCTGGCGAAAAAATGGAAGAAACTTCAAAACTTCGTGGTATGCTTCTCACACATGGCTAACAGGTAGTGAAGTTGAAGCTAAGCTTGATTATTGGGCATGTATTTTATTGTCCATTAAGAAGAGTATTTGGAATAGAGATGAATATTTTGACATGAAACATTTTATCAAAAAATATACAAAAACATGAAATGTCAAACGATCACATAATGTAAGAGAATCTTAAACTCTGGAAAAAAGTCGAACCTGATTTCTGAATTATTCTCAGCGCAACAAAAAACTCACAACCTTTTTTTAGAATCGCAATATCTTAATACCACATCAGCGCATGCTTCATGGAAATAATTCTTTGGATTGTAATAACATCAGTAAGACAATAGTTTTCAATAAATTGAAGAAAAAAAATACAACAAAAATAGCTTCTGGAGGGCATGGCCCCCATGCACCCTTCTTAGGATCAGCAGGTGTTTTTGCCTACCCTGAACGTTTGATCACGAGTGTCAGTCATGAAAGCGTATTCTCTTCTAGGCTCTTTAGAAATTAATATAAGTAAAGGAATTCATTATAAGGGTATTTAAATATCTTAATTTCATTACTTTTGAAGGTTCAATTTGAAAATTTCTCTTAAAATGTTGGTGAAATTTGAGAAACAAAATATGGGATTTTAAAATTTCCTTGAAGTAAAATATGAAAACACTCCAATGTGAACATTTCGGGCTGTCATGGCCTTCGTGAACCAAATATTTTGTATTTGAGTAAATATTATTTCTACTGCTTTCGAAATTAAAGTAAACTTTAGTTCGTAAAATCTTTTGGGCGAGACATATTTCCAAAATTCTCCCAGAAGAAATATTTCTTGTTTTCCAAAATATAGAAGTATATCTAGTACTGAGACAGGGCGGCAAAAAAAAAAAAACATTCTGAAGAAAAGTTTGAACAGTTTTTAGACAGACATGGTAATATTTTCAGAAATAAGACACAACTTTTATTTTTATACAAATATTTTATACACAATATTTAAAGTATAATAAATATTTGAATAATAAAGTGTAATAACATTTATCAGAAATGAAATATCAATATTTTAATAATTTATTAAATATCAAAATCTGTTTTCGATTTAAAAATGCATTTTAGAAGCGGATTTGTTTAACTCAAACACATTACATTTGTTAAGGTAACAAAACTGACAAACATGGGTGGTTTCATTAATTGATTGCATTCAGAAGAATTAAAATATTGACCAACAGGAAACAGTAAGATCATGCGTAAAGGTCGTATCCAAATATTGTATATTTGCAACATACTGTAAAATAAGTAGGTCACAACTACAGATTTATGCCAGAAAAGTTCTAATTAGAATTCGTAACGTAAGCTTAAGAGCCGGGTCACCCTCTGGAGATAGAATGTTGATTCGAATTCTCTTTTCAGATGTAAATATTACTCGCAAGGTAAATAAGAAAACTAAAGGCAATCGCAGTAGTTTTCGCAAAGTTTTACTTCGTTTCTCTTCCTTTGACCACGGCCAAATATATTTTCTTCTATTCCCAGAACTTCACTGTCGAGGGACGCGGGCGGGTGGTCGCTGTGAGTGCCGGCAGCCGTGTGCCAGATGTTCCCACCAATGCACCTCTCCGATGCCTCCGCCGCCACATTCAGGCAAGCGCTCCGTTGAAACTCATAGCTACCTCGCCAGCCCTGTTTGCTATTCATCGACGTGACATCGGAAGAATTTCTAATGAGGTACACATATCATTTGATATAAATCGAATTTTGCTTGTACATGAAATACTGGTTATTTGTAAAACAATAAAATTATTATAAATTATTATAATATTTTGACCGGAAGATTTGCATAGATGACAATCGCAATTAATTTCTAATTCAAACGCTGAAGATGAGTGTATTTACGAAACATATTCTGTGAAACTACTATTTTCTCTTTATTAGAGTTGTGTGAAACATATTGCAAAGACCAAACATATGTAGCAAATATGTGCGAAATCGAGATTGCATCCATACATATTATTTCTTCATACTGCCTTTGTCTTTGCAGATTTATATTTTGTTACAATTGTGTGGCAGAAAAGTAATATCATGAGGCTTTTTGAAATGAGGCCACCTCTTTCCCAGTCACTTACACATACTCACTCTTAGACACTTAGACTCAATCAGTCCCAGGGTCTCGCCATTATTCCCTTTACTTTATTAATTCTCGACATTCGAATCATTCCATATTTTTATAATTTCCTCACAAGCTACAACTTCCACCATCATGCATGATGGTGCCAGTGTTACGGACTAGTCTCTCGTCCCTACTTACACTAATTGCCCTTTTAGCCAAGCCCAAGCAAAACAATTTTCAACATCAACATCTCCATTCAACCACTGTTCCCTTATCACATCATCGTAAACTACCACCGTCTCGTTCTCCACCTACGTCATCGCCATCATTTCTGTCGCAATGGACCCGGCATGGTAGGCCTCTTTGTCAACGTTCAAGTTTTACTCTTCCCTCTGCACTATCTGCTTGAAGACCATCCTGTTACGGCGTAAAACGACGCGCAGACACGACGCGTTGTCGCTTGGTTGGCACAGCAAGCCCTGCGCACGTGCGAATGCCCCGCGCTGTTGAAAGCCCTGCCGCGCAGTGCGCTGGCGCCCCGCTAGATAGCTCTGAATGCCTTCCATTGAAACGACCACTACTGCTGCCCACGTGTCGCTAGGTACATGCTTCGTCACTTTACTTTAAAAGAAAATGTCGTTTTACCCTTCTTGTTACTCTGAAAAAATGTAGGTAAATTACGTTTCGTCCATTATTTCATTATAAATCACGACTGCAATTCCCGTAGACTATTTACCCTTCACGTAAGTTATATATTCGCTTAAATACGTACATTAATTCGGGCATAATTTTGAAATAGCATAAGAGAAATTAAATTTCTTCATTAAATTATCAATTCAATGTTTTAATAAATGTTTAAACTGGTAATTATTTGTCCAAATCCAGGGCCTTTAGTAAAACCTTGAAAGTAAGGTTGATGATAACATAATGTGACCACTTGTAATTAGCGGAGCTCAACGGCTCATATTATTGGCGAAGGTTAAGCAATATTATTATATTGCACATTATATTACTTGAAAGCGATATAACTCAAAATTAAGCGAAACAGTCTGTTCTTTTGAAAAAAGTAAATACAAAATGACTTTAAAGATCCAGTACGACAAACTAGAATGTATTATGAAAGACATTTCTCATTTTAATGTTAAAAGCGAAGAACCAAAAATGAACTTTGTCACTAAAATAACTCAAAACTACACGAGTAGTTCCTTGCAACACTCGCATTCGCCACCCAGCTAGCGAAGAGCGTGTGTTATGCCGGGACCTTGACCTTGGCGAGTCCAATACACCACAACAGAATCGCAGTTTTGAATTGCGGACGCCGCGCCATGCGGCGCGCGGGCGTCTTCCGAGAGAGAGACGCATGGCCGTGTTTTGCAAGGCGAGCGGCCAGCGCCCGCAGCCCGAGCGCGGGGCGCACAGGCGCACTTTATTATGCAAATGGCGCTTGGGCGCCGGCGCAGGCACAGTTTGCACAGGGCTCGTAAACAGCGCCGCGGCGTGTCCCGCGCGGCAGGTTTATTCCCAGTCGGCCCGGAGCGATCAACAGCGCCGCCCAGCCCGCGACGCCGCCCGGAAGCCGCACCTCCCCCCCCCCTCGCCCCCCCCGGCGACGCACGCTGATCCAAACTAGGCCGAAAGGTGCGCGGAGCCACATCACACACTTATTATTTCCAACTTTTGCAGTGTTCGAAAATGAGACCTGCGCTTTTCTTTTAAGCATCCCTTGTTCAAATTGTGAAAGGGAAAATAAAAAAATTAAGTGTTTTTTTAGTATTTTTTCATAGATTGCCTTTACTTTAGGCAGAAATTACGCGAAAACTAGTCGTTCTATCAAACAATTGTGTTTGATCTTTTTAGCAGATCTGATTATTTCGAACAGATTTCATTAACGCAAAAATCTATCTTCAAATTTGTAGTTTTGCAGCATTAACATTCTGCAATTTTCTAAAATACAGAAAATTCCCCGGATATGAGACCAAAACCATTTTTTCATCGTTCTTTGACACATACCGAGAGAAAATTTAAATAAAAAATTGAAGCCTATTTGGAGAAAAAAATTCTTTAAATATCGCCTAAATTTCACGTAACATGACAAAAAAATCACGTATATTTTGTAAAACTTGTTCATATTGATAACATTTGTCTTTGGAGAA